TCTTGCGAAAGGTAATAAATTAAGTTAATTTTAACCTTTAAGAATAATAAAAAAGGCTTCAATAGAAAAAAGAAAAGAAAAAATTGAAAAATCAAAAACAAAAAAAAAAATACAGTATTTCGGGGGAAGGTGTTTTTTTTTTTTTTTTTTTTTTTTTTTTTTTTTGTTTGTTTGTTTGTTTGTTTTGGTGTGTCTTACTTACTAGCGGCACCATCTCTGTTTTTTTTTTTTTGTAGAGAAAAAATAACCACAAAAAATTGAAACATCGCTCCACTGGAACCTGAAAGATACCGCGTAGTCCTTTTTTTTTCCGCCTTTTTTTCTTTTCTTTTTTCATCCTGAAAGTTACTGCTGCATCCTCAAGCGGCGTTGCCCCAACCTCCCTCCTCCCCCGTCACACACACCCTTGGCAGATTATTACAGAGAGTGCCTCCCCCTACCGTTATCATGATGATCACCTCCCTATCTCTCCTCCTCCTCCTCCTCCTCCTCCTCCTCATCGTTGCCATCAGGGATACATCGTCATCAGAACCAACGACTAATCATCATCATCATCATCATCATCATCATCATCATGACCATAATCAACAACCTCCGCATCTTTCCAGTCCATCTTGTTGTTTACCTTTTCCTCTCCCTCTTCTTGTTTTACGCCACACTGTTGTTTGGCTGTCCCATCTCCCTTCTTCTTCTTCCTCCTCATTACAGGTCACTGTATAGCATTGGACAGCCACACTTCTTCCTCTTCCTCATTACCGTTGACTGGAGTGGAAGGTCGCAGGTTCGAATCATGTAGGATGGTGAATTCTTTGGAAGAATGGCCGAGTGGTTAAAAGAGACAGACTGTAAATCTGTTGAAGGTTAATAATTCTACGCAGGTTCAAACCCTGGTAAGATGCGGGACTGCCACACTGCTGTTTGACTGTCCAATCACGCGGGAGATGAGGGGGGGGGGGGCGAATATCCACGTTTCCACCGCATAACATTTTTCCACGTGGACGGCTGCCCTCATCTCCCTTCTTCTCCTTTCTTCCTCATTACCAAAGATTTATCATCATGATTACCATAGTGAATCTTCAATCATCATCATCATCATCATCGTCGTCGTCGTCATTGTCATCGTCATGGTCATCATCGTCGTCGTTGTTGCCCCACCCGCAACAGTGTCATAATCCTCAATGATCAATCATGGATTATCAAGCACCAATC